CCAGGTTTGATATGTCCACAACCCATAATTAGCAGACCGGTGGTCTAACTGAGCGTGTCAACCGTGCCATTGGTGACTTTTTGCGCAGTCTTTGTGCTGTTACGCCTAGGTGTTGGAGATTGATGGCCCTAGTGGTCGAGTTTGCTTTATATAAAGCTGTTCATGCCTCTACGGTATTTACTCCATTCTATGTGAATGGTCTCATTCCGTTACGCTGCCACTGCGTGGTTTTGGGCTCGGTGGGGGAGGAATAGCCGATCGGCTTGCTGATTTCAGCCCAACTATTGTTCAGAAACAGGTGAGCGAGATTTTCGCTACGCAATGAATGTCTTACGACATGTACGTGATGCAATGGGTTACAGCCAGGACAAACAAAAGGAACAAGCTGATGCCATAGGCAGAAAATACATCGAAAGTTTTTAGGTTGGAGACCTAGTCTTCCTTTAAGCTAAGAATTTACCCACCAAGGTGGTTTCAGCGATCTATAGGAACAAATTGCGTTCTCGCTTCATCGAGGCGTTTACAGTTGTGGCCAAGAAGGGCCTAGCTTATACGCTCAACATTCCACGCAAAATGCGAACACACCCAGTTTTTTACTTCGGCTTGATTAAGCCTTTTCTTGATCCGTCGCGGGTGTATCACGAGGCTCTTGCGCCAAAAGAGTTGGCAAAGTCACAAGTCGAGGAACTTTCAAAAGAATGTCCAGTTGTACTTCAAGACGCGCCACGCTTTTACGAAGACCATGCACCTCGTACACTAACTCGTCGAAGACGCATCGAGATTCAACGTCGTATTTAGGGTAAGTCGACCAATACCGCTTCCCACTAGTCGGTTCGGTAGTGGAGGGTGCTGCAACTTTAGCAAATGCACAGGTATGCGGGTCTGTAGCTTCCGCAGCATAGCGGGTGCGATAAAACGACCGTATATGGCATTTGGCTTTTTGTTTTAAGAAACCAAAGCGCTTTTTTGTTCAATCCGATCGTCAGCAAGTGAAGCGCTTTCTTAATGATTCCATAGGCTTGATAAGTGACAATATTTGCAAGCCCAATGCGTGAAGACGGTATCGTTTTCTACCTTTGTCTCACCAGGAATGAGGACAACAGGTACGGTTCGCATAGCGGACACTGACGCACCTCGTGCTTGTAGATGCAGTCTGTTGTAGTAACCTTGGACATTCATACGCTCGACACCCAGATATCTTGCTCTGAAAGCGTCCTTCTCAGCTAGTATTGTGGCTGTGTCAGCCTCAGGCCCGTGACCCATGTTGCGAGTTACTGCTCGGCAGTCTGACGGATGCGTTCATCCACACTCTGTCGTGTGAAGCGGTAGCCACTGTGAGCATATGCTGTGGCTACAGATTGTACTTGACGCCTGAGGTCATCGACTACGAAATGTATTTCCCTTAATCTTCATCGAGAGTGTTTTGCAACACACCTGACGCTTAATCGACGGCTGTACGCTATGCAGATATATCCTTGCGTTCCACGAATGAATTAGGTGCGACGCGTGTGGTGAAATACGCCGGTGGCAAAGCTGGAGGCGGTTCATAGGCACTCGATGCGACGGTGTCTCTCTCGTATTCCACGATACCCTCTACGAGGATTTCTCCATCGGCGTTAAACGAAGGGTTTGACTCAATCATTTTTAGATGTGTTGTAAACGCGATGGCCAAGACCAGAGCTTTGGATAACCTCAAAAAAAATACGAGAATTGTCGGCACGAGTTGTCGACAGTTTGGTGTGGGAGGTTGTAACGGTGTCACACGGCGGTTAATGAACCGGTTACGTTGTTTGTCCACACCAAGTAAAGATCGGTGGATCTGAGCGGTGCAGTCTTGGCACCATGTACTTACGGTAATACTGCACCTTATCTGCTAGCGACAAGGGATAATCTTATGTCATAAAAAAGTAATTATAATCAGTCCTGCAGGTGCTTAACACCGGTAGGCTTAATGGGTAGAACCCTTATTTATTAAGTCAGACAAGATTTTATGGTTTGATATACCGTATTTAAATAATAGTTAAAGTTCAGTTACCATTTTGGATCGTTATACACAAGTGCCTCTACAAGGCACTTGTGTGTTGCTAAGGGCATTAGCCTTATAAAGGTGCTTACTGTTATTATCTAGTAGTGGCTAGTTAGTCTGTGATTCCATTAATCGCAATCCCTTTGGACCGAATTTGTTAAGCCTGTAATCCAGAACGACTGTACGTCATTGTTAGTTTGTTTTAACTAATAAACTCTTTGAGTCTAAGACTTCCTCTGTTAAAGAGCGCTAAGTAGCTCCTATACATGGAGTTGCTTTCTTCAGAATCAGTTGCATTATCTTTTCGCCTCTCAAATATCTTAAAACCTCTGTCAGCTAACGTGAAATAACCCACAGTCGGTGAATGAGTACGCCTGGAGACTCTATGCACTGCGTATGATATGTCCGGCCTGATGCATCTTGATAAATAGAGCAAACCGCTAATTAGAGGTTAAATTTATTGATGGTAGCTGCATCACCTCCATCCTTTTCGACTAATTCTGCACTCTCCTCTCGTCTGCTGCATAGTTCCTCACCGATCGGAATACGAGTTCCACGTGCCTATTCCAAAATGTTGTCACGTAGCATCCCACGAATACTCACATCCTGATCAATGCCCTTTCACTGTTGTTAGTGATGCGCATTCCCAGAAACTTGCGCACACCACTTAGGAGCTAAAATACAATTTTCTTTTAATTTCCAAAAAAACTCAATGACCAGATTTGCTTGCGTCACTGTTACAAGAACGTCACCAATGTGAACTCCCACAATCACGAAATTCTCATTCGTTCATTTACAAAACACGCACGCATATGTAAGGCACTGTGAGAAATGGACGCCATTCAGTTTTAATGGATCAACTCAGTCCACAATCGTCCATCCAGTCTTCATTCCCGACCAAATGTCTGCTGCTGCCACTATCTAGAATCCAGATGTTCTCAGATCCGTCTTGCATTTCCGGTATAGCCAGCGTTAAAGCTGAGACATGTTTTCGTGGAAGGCTTTGCTCTGACAGTTTGCGACGATACGAGCTAATGTTCCACACTAAAAGCGTCATCTGCGTCCTTAAAAGGGCCCATGTTGAACCGGTCCTTCAGAAACTTTTCCGTGACGACTGTAGGTCATCTCTCGTTCCAAAACTATACAGCGATAGTCTTCTCAACCGTGACCGACAACATAACTTCCAATGCGCTAAGTTAATCATCACTGACTCTCAAGATTGCGCAAAATGTGCCAATTTGCCCTGTTCTTGCTGTAAGCAATGCATCCTTTGCTGGTCCACCTTGGCCATGAGAACAATTATCATCTCTTTTGGTGCATACTAAATAATGTTGTTCAGCACCAGATAGTCGCAATCCCCATCGGGCGCTCTGGCGACGGCGTTGAGGTACAGCAAGTGTTCAATCCATATTTCTAGTGTAATATTCGGGCGCTTACAAAGATCCATGGTTTATGCTGACGTAATATTCGTTTTTAATGCTTAAAGCATACGTCCCTTTGCGTACTTAAAGATCTTATTCTGGCTCTACCAGGAATCAATCTGTTTATTGTAGTACATTTCAGCCTCTTTATCTAACATTGGCCGAGTAAGTCCACTTTTACTTCTTCAAGCCAATAGAATCCAGTCGCATACTATGCCAATTTAATTTAATGTTTTCAAACGCCTTCTCCACATTAAAAAACCAATACCCTACCACGCGTAGAATTCTTTGCCATCAGAAGAGGAACGTGGAGCTCTTTATTTCTTGAATCTGAGTGGGTACCCAAACATTTTTTTTGCATCCTGCACGGGTGGACTGCCAATTTGTTGTATCTTCACCTTGGTGCCTTCCACCTGATAAACAAGCAAAATTCCACCATGTCTCGGACCACAACATGGCCAAAGAACTTAGTTAGGGTCTATATATCCAGATTAGTGGCTGGCAAATTTTTGTTTGGAAATGCTTTGCACCCTTCCTTTTGTTTGCATCTCTTTCGAGGATTTTAGACAGCAAATCGTGATGCATTCTGGAACCTCTCCCTTGAGCAGAGTCAGGAGCCACCAGACCTTAAAAGATCAAGTCACCTTAGAATTGACCAGGTCGGCCGATGGGAGGGCAGGTCGGCCGACGGGTGACTGAGGTCCACCTTGGGCGATAAGGGCCGACCGACGAATGGTTGAGAACGATCCGTGTCTGTACTTTTTAATTGGTACCGTTGGTAGTTTGACCTCGTTAACAGCAAACTTAACCGCTCGTCACGCATGGACCCAACGGCTGCTCCTTACTTGTGACGACCACCACCATCCCCAGTCCCTTCATTGTCCGCGAGGTCCCATGTCCGTCCGGCTCGTCGACCCTTATGTCCATCATTTTCGAATACTCTCTTTACCACAAGCGCCCCTTGCACTTGCTTGGCCATAAACGATTCGAGCACGATCATGTCTTGACCACGCCAGTCCATTAAGTTCCACCTTCTCTTGTGGCCGATATCATGATACTGTCAAACCTATGTGCTTGCAGCCATATCTTCACCGGATTTTGATTTGCCATCGGGTCCAATTTCGACTCCTTCGCCACCACCTGCACCCTCGACAGAGGTCTCTGTCCAGGTTGACGCAGTCGCAGAACGCCTGTCGTCTCTGTTATTTCAGGTTTATCATCGTTGGTGAAAGCTAATGAGGTCGCCGTGACCACGCGGTCGACCTCGCCACCGGTGATCACGGCTCCGATCACCTCATGTGTGTGGTCGCCCCCAGGCGTGACCGCTTCTTGTGATGTTGCTGTCAGTGTCGCTCCCGCCGATGTCGGTTCGGCAACACCGGTCGACCTCGTTGGTGGTCGTTCTAGCACAAGCTACCACCAGTCTATGTGGTGGCGTTATGTCGCCGTGTCGAGCTCTGTGAGGGTCGGTTGGCCCTGATGTCCCCGTCGCCGCATTATAGTCGCTCTGATGTGAACGCCTAAAACGGGAGTTAGGTTAATCCAGCGCTTTCATGCCGCAGCTTCGCGACACGCTGCAGCATGAGATGGCGCTGACCCACCACTTGCGACAGCAAGTCGACCTTCGCCATAATCGGATGTCTCTTCTCGTTGCAGACCTCAGCCACTACGATATCGCGGGCGAACCTCTAGGAATTAGCCCTGGTTTCACTCAAGGGAAGCCACAACACTCGACCACGGACGATCGACCAACTGCTCCTGCCGCCGGCACACTGCCTCGGCGGAAAGAATCTCGCACCTCAGCCCATCCGGCTTAGCAGGTAAATGTAACGGGGTAGCCCGTTACGTGATATTGACACCAAAGGTGTCAATAGGGATACTGTCTAGCATGACAGTATTCTGTCAATATCATCCGGAATAGATGATATTAAAGGAATATTATCCCCTTTTAAGATAATATTCATGCGCTGCTCAAAGACAGATTCATAAAAGACATATCAACCATAGACTACCACCAATCAATGCTAGACTCGCGCAACGAGTGGTGAGCAGGATGTCGTCATACGACAACTTAATTTAATGTAGTTCGATAAAGATTGAAGTTATATAGATCGCTTAGCTAAATTAATTACAGTTCTCTTTTTTACCTTTACTTGAACGAGTTGTTCAAGTAGATAAGCTTCCTCTGCACGTACAAGTGTCCGTGAAGTTTTGTGGCACCCGGACAGAGGGTGCTCCGTTACAACTGGTAGCACTTTGTAGTCCGCCCAACGACTACTTAGTGTCTGTCCAACAGGAACTATAAGACGTAGAAGACAATAGATTTCACGTCAGACGTGAAGGCTACTCCCACCTGAGTGACTTAGAGTGGAAGGTAGTCGGCCGCATGAGTGTGCTCATAGGCGAACCTGCCATCAAGTGGTATGTTGGAGCCCCTAGGCGGAGATGAAAAACACGCCGCTATCAACTAGTTCCTACAAGGGGAACTTGCTGTCGTAAGACAGAAGATAGCCTTGCTTTAACAGCAAGGCTCTCATCAGTCGATGGGCGGACCGACGCACATGCGTCGACCCGAAACCTTGAAGATTGATATCTCAAAGTACAAGTGAAGCAATGAGTATTCCATTTTGTGATGTTTTGTCGAGCTAGACGACGCCATGAGGGCTCGTCAAATTGAGGGTGACGAGATGAAAGTCACATTCGCCCTGTCAAATTTGACAGGACGAGCAAATCCTTAGGCCTTAGGGCTCAAGCTTCACGACCCTGACGTGTTTGAGTCGTTAAAGACCTTGAAGTCTCAGCTAGAAGAAACTGTTGATCCGTTAAGAGCGGAGTACACAGGGTACGCCCTGCACTCCTGAGACTTAGGCAAGGTAAGAGTGTTGTGCACGCTTACGCAAAACACCAACGCTACCTTGCGAGTAGCGTAAAACCCTGTTGATGAACACACGCTCATCAACGTGTTCATCTACGGTCTTTTAGATAGGCCGATGAAGACCTACGTGTTACTAAAGGACTTCCATACGCTGGAAATGGCGATAGCGTATGCAGAACAAGAAGACTTCAGCCTGAGACATTCTCAGGCTAACTCGTCAAACTATCGTCCGACGAGACGACAGGAAACAGGAGGTCCCGAACCAATGGACCGCTGTTACATCGAGAGCGATAACCCTCGCTCTCTGAGTCACAAGCGAACGGCAAGATGCCATCGCTGTCAGAAGATTGGGCACTACGGTCATTATTGTAGTGTCCCACGCACCGCATTACGTCCAAAGACAGGACGTGATGACCACTGTTGGCCAAGGAAAGGTTCAAGGAGTGGGTCCGACCATGTCTCTAAGCCGCGACAGCAAGTCGGACCCCTAAAAAACGGACAGGGTCAGTAGGGGCGGAGCACCCTGATGATCTAGCAATGTCAAGAGCGTTTGCAGAACTCTTGACGAATATCGCTCACAAAACACATTCACTGTGTGTTCCGCCCCTAGTAATGAGGACTCCCTCATCACTTTGAAGATCGAAGCGACAAGCGGAATGTCACTACGCGTCCTTGTTGACTGTGGGGCATCGAACAGTTTTATTCGACGCCAGTCGCTAGAGGATAGTCGACTCAACTATGTTGAGCGAGAGTTTCCTCCAACGAGGATGACGGTGTGCCTTGCTACAGGCGCATCCGTAACAGTGAACAAACGTGTAGTGGCAATCCACTACACGCTGAAAGGAAAGTAGTACGACGATGACTTCATCGTAAAATATTTGGATGACAAATTTGATGTCATCCTCGGTCTGCCATGGCTTGGAAAATACCAGCCATGGGTCAGCTGGAAGCATCGATCCGTGAAGATGCCTGCCGTTTGTTCATCAGATGGCCATCTGATGAACGTCTTGGAGCGTCCACAAGCGTGTGGATGTACTACGAGTGAGTGCGATGGACTCACTTGCGGTACGGTCGTTAGTACGACTGCACAAGATCACAGTGTTGAAGGCCACTACACTGTGGAACCAGCTTCCGGCTCCTGTGTAGAGACACAGGCTGCGCAGAAAGTTCACCATTTGAAGAGGTCGAATGGACTGGAACACGGATGCACACCAAGAAGTGTGTAACCGAGAAGAGAGATTAGTGTTGTTCAGAACGAAAAACACGTTGAAGCGAGATTGGCCAACAGAGAGTCAATCGAAAAGCAAGCACAATCGACTGGAAGAGAGTCGATCGAAGAGGACGTAACTGTATTAGTACACCTACAGTCAGTACACGTATTGGAAGAAAGCTCCAGCGTTCCTGAGGGTGATAACTTCCGAGATAGTTATGTTGGGGGTGAGGTTCCTCAACTATCTGCGGATGTGTTTTTCCAGAAAAGCCCTGAGACAGTGAATGTCTTGGTAAATGACGGATCAGGTGTAGGCGCCTTTACACTTAATCTCGTTACAACTACGAGGTCAGCTTTGGAGGAAATTAAATTGCCAACGCTAGAATCTACAAGATTCTTGCGAGATCTGCGTAGTGACAAGATCAAGCAGACCTGCGAACTCATCACAGAGGACGGGTACGTCGCCGATAGTCGGTCGGCACAATTGTTTGCTGAGAACTAACGGGTTCTCAGTATCTCATCGATGGACGAGAGTGTCCTCGATGAGAAGACTCGATTTGAGCGAAGCACGTCTCAATCTTGGGAGTCTTTCAAGACAAATTCTTTGTATAAGGATTTTGTTGAATTCAGGGATGTATTCCCTGAAACTGTTCCGTGCGAATTACCGAAGGATAAAGGTATTCGACACGAGGTCGAGCTTAAACCAGGCTCGAAGTACTGTGTCATGAAGTAGTGGCCACTGCCTCATGAACAAGTACTTGCGATTGACAAGTTCTTTGCCGATCGTTTAGCTGCGGGTCATGTGAGGGAATCAACTTCCCCACATAGCTCTCCGACCTTCTGTGTGCGAAAAGCAACAGGAGGATGGCGGATAGTGCATACATTTAATAAGTTGAATGCTGCAACGGTACCGGCTCAGACACCGATACCAATGAAGGGCGTAATCATTGATGGTATCGCAAAAGTACCATCTTTTCGTTAATGGATTGGTTGGATGGATTCTGCCAGATCCCCATGCGTGAAAGGGGCATTCCGTACACAGCAGTGAGCACTCCCAGCGGTATGCTCTAATAGTGGCTAGTAATGCCACAGGGGCTAAGTAACGCCCCTGCAATGTTCAACAGATCTGTTACGAATCTGTTGCAATCGGTGCGCGACTTCGTACTGAGATACTTCGACGGCTATATCGTCCATAGCCGGGCTATGAATGGAAAGGCGGACGTGATTTTAAGAGAATTTACGTCCGGAAGTTTGTTACACTAATGCGTGAGCACAAGTTTTTCGCGAATCTCAAGAAGTGTGTATTCGCAGTGAGCGAAATTCCACTTGGCTGCATCGTAGGCACAAACGGCGCACTTCCTGATCCGGAGAAGATCAAGGCGATTAGAGACTGGCCTGTTCCAGTCGACGTCAGGGGACTTCGATAGTTCCTTGGCTTGGCGGCGTACTTGCACAAGTACTCGCGCAACTACGCCGAGATGACCGTAAGTCTCTATCGTCTACTAAAGAAAAACGAGAGGTGGTCATGGAGTGCTAAGTGTTGGCAATCCTTCTAAGGTATCAAGAAATTTCTTGATACTATCGCCTGTGTTGGCGATTGTAGACCAGGAAAGATCAATCCGTGTGGTCTGCGACGCCAGCGATTTTACATACGGCTGCGCGTTAATGCAGTGCAACTCAGACAGCGTTGAACGGGCCGTCTGTTATCAATCGCTTCAGCTGCAAGCAGCTGAGCTTAGTTACCCGGTGCATGACAAGGAACCCCTTGCCATAAAATATGTACTGGCTGAGTTTCGGGTATATCACTTAGGAGATAGGCCCTTCATCGTTTATACCGACCATGCGTCGTTACGCACGGCCTTAGACAGTCCACATCTCTTGCAGCAAATGGCGAGGTGGCTGTCTTTCTTCGCGGAGTACAGCTTCTCCGTCGAGTATAAACCAGGACGACTTAATGTCGTCGCTGACGCACTTTCGCGTCGGCCCGATTTCGAGCCGACTGCTCAACACAACAATAGGAGTGATCCCACTGTTGCAACACCATCAGTGAGGGTTCCGTTGTCAAATCTGCTCGACTAGGTGCGGAAAGCATACGCAGAAGATGAGTCTCTTCTGCAGCCGATAGATTATGTAGCCAATCCATGCTGTCAAGCTTTGAAAAGCTTGTCGTCTCAATACCACTCTTCAACCGAACGGTGTTTGGTACGTGATGGACTGCTTTACTATACAGCACTTAACACGTACACACCACGTGTCGTCGTTCGCGCTCAAAATTATTTACACTGCGCATCATAAATGAACGTCACGATGCCCTAACAAGTGGACATCGCGGTATAGAAAAGACTTACCTTACGGTAAGTCGTGACTTCTACTGGCCTCGCCAGTATGAGTTTGTGCGCAAAAGCATTCGCTATTGCGACGTTTGTCTAAAGGTAAAGCCTAGTTCTTCATTACGAGCACCCTTGCAGCCTCTACCAATTCCGGTAGATTGTTGGCCGTCCGTATCGATGGACTTCGTCTTCGGGTTTCCCAAAGACGCTCACTAGAATACTGGAATTCTTGTGTTTGTTGATTAATTTAGCAAGATGGTACATCTTGTTTCTGTACCGGAGGTAATCACAGCCCAGGGATGTGCGCGTGTCTTCCTCAATACTATCTTCCGACTTCACGGGTACCCCCGTGAAGTCGTGTCTGATAAAGAACCCCACTTTACGGTGGAGTTCTGGGAAACCGTGTTCCGTTCACTTGGACCCGATTAAGGATGTCGACTTCTGACCATCCAGAAACAGATGGTCAGACGGAAAGCATCAACCGCGTCCTCGAAGAGATACTTCGAGGGCACGTCCACCCGCTTACGACTTGAAGTAAATTCTTGCCAATGGCGGAAATCTAACATCAGCAACTCGGTGCATGCGTCGACAACGCATACACCGTTCTTCTTGAATGTCCTACGCCATCCACGTTTACCCGCCTTCTTGACTCTAGTTTAAGGGTGTTGGACTCGCTAAAACAAAAAACCGAACTATTCTTGCTCATCACACGTTTACAATGTTGTCGACGTTATGGAAGTCGATGTCGATTACATCGACACCGATAATGATACTTACGACGATGATACTGGTATATTCAGCATCGCTAAAGGCTGCTACAGTGAGGACGATGACGCCCTCAATGGTGAAGACAACGTTCTTTTAGCAATGCACAAGAAGCGCACTGCTGTTGACAAGGATGAATTAGCAGAGGAATTTCTGCTGAGTCACCAAGCGGTCGTCCGCTTCGTTCCAGGTTCTATTGCAGATGCAAAAGACAGACAGAAAAGAAACACAGACAAACATGGAAGAGCAAATGTTCTTTTATTTGATGAAGAAGATTTAGTTTTACAGTGTACAGTAAACTTACCGAAACACGCAGTGACAAACTTGGGCAGCAGTATATTACTGCGTAAGTACATCGGTCCATTTCGTGTGTTGCGCCGACTGGGCAACGCATACACGATTGAACTGCCCCGTAAAATGCGTACGCATCCAATCTTTTACGTTGGACGTATCCGCCCGAACTATCAGTACGAGTCCGTTTTGAGAGGCGAAGAACACCTTTGCGTTCAAAGCTCATGACCACCTTCGAGTGGTCCAGTTTCAACGAACCAGTCTGGTCGACTAGCAAAGCGACCTGCTGATGCAGTTAAGCGATGTCCTGACTAGCTGGATTCAGCTCGTTACACAGAGAGCGAATCGATAGCTCGTATTCAAGTTAAGCAATCGCAATCGCGGCACGATCGTTCGAACGATCGTGCGCTAAGGAATTAAAAATCCTTTACAAGGTCATGAAGCTTCTAACGCCGAGTCCGTTCATGAGCCAGGTCGTCGTGTAAATTATCGGTTACACGGTTCCGTTTCTGAACATCAAAGCTGATCCGATCCTCGAGTCGGATCAGGTGTGTCTTACACCACCACATCCTCTGATAAATTCTGGCGGTGGTCAACGCTTCCTAGTGGAGCATATTTTTAACCACCACGACGTGAAGGGCGTCCGTACGAGTTACCTCATCCGCTGGCGTGACTATCGATTAGCCTGGGACAGCTGGGAGCCTCGTGCCCAGCTGATTGTTGATGTTCTGGGTCTCGTCAATCAATATGACGAGATCCGTCCGCTCCGTTCGATTAAGGGCCGTCGGAAAACGACCTCCCCGAACGCAAGTACAGGGATTGCAAAGTGTTAATTAGTTCGGCCATCTCAATAGATTTGCGCTCCTTTCAGTAGGAAACATTGGGGATGGAGGCCTCTCTAGGGGAACGATTTGCATTGTCCAAGCAACACGGACATGGATCACCCAACGAGCGACAGAAACACTCTGCCTCTCTTGATATTCGGTGCAACCTGTTTCGTACACCGGCTGAGTTACACTTTTCAAACCTGATGCAAGCCGCATCAATTTAACCGAGCCAGGCATCACGGCCAATGAACGCGATGTCATGGATGAAGGCATTCCATCCTTGCACCAAGGCCTACCGTCTAGGCCACGATTGACATTGTACCACCGATGTTTGAAAAACACATTGGTGAAGAATTGTATCTCAGCACGGATAGTTTACGTGCTGGAATTATGAGGACAGATCCTCCTACAGTCGAACAACGGGATTCGTCCCGTTCGATGGTCATGCCGGCCACTCGATCGAACTCTTTGGATGACGGCATCCAAGGAGACTCCACTTGAAAAGCGTGGCGCAGGGCAGTACGGCACTGGCCTCGTGAGTGGTGTCAGCATGAGGACTGACACCAGATGCATCTCGATCCCTCAAGTTGCTTCTCTCGTGGTGATACTTAGGTGCGTCACCACCATCGTTACCCGTCCTATCGTTGGTTGGACTTGCGTGAGGCGAGGATTCGTCCAACCAATTGCTCGACCCGAAGATCTCGAGCATGATGCCGCCACGTTCACCAGAGCCAGTCAACCTGGCTCTTGCAGTGTCCACCCCGGATGATCCGGAGGCATGGGATACCGCCTTCGAGTAGGATACATCATCCGACTCGCCAGAATGGATGAGCTCTAATTCAGGCTCATCTGGATTATAATTCGCGGTGCTCGCTGCAGACGCAGCGGATGTACCTGTCGCACGTGGCGACTCACCATGTGGACTGTTCACAGCAGCAGGCGACGAGTCACCAGCTGCTGAGGTGTGAGAAGTACTCTCTCCGGCTGTACGCATGCGTGCAGCCACCTTTCTTGCTGCTGCAGCAGCAACTCGCTTGGGTTTCGAAACCGTGCGTTGATTTGGAAATTGAACGGAATTTGACCAACAAGTGCTCCTTTTCCCAGAGTGATCCAACGGTGTTCACCGTGTCCCAATCAATTCTATTCAATCAACGGTTGATTGATAATTAGGGGGGTGATGTAACGGGGTAGTCCGTTATATGAAACTGTGTCAATATGGAGATTGTTTAGCATGACAATATCCTACCAACATTATCCGAGATGGATAAAATTGAAGGAAAAATATCCCCTTTTGGATAATATTCATGCGCTGCTCAAAGATTGGTTGGTAAAGACATATCAACCATAGACTACCCTAAATCGCTGCTAGACTCGCGCAACGAGTGGTGAGCAGGATGTCGTCATACGACAACTTAATTTGATGTAGTTCGATAAAGATTGAAGTTATATAGATCGCTTAGCTGTATTACATACAGTACTCTATTTACTCTTTACTCAGCACAGCGGGTGAGTAGATTAGCTTCTTCTGCACGTACTAGTGTCCGTGAAGTTTTGTGGCACACCAGACAAAGGGTGCCCTGTTACAGTGTAGGTGAGCGTGCTAAAGTCCCAACGTCTTCCGACGTGAGCCTCAGTTCTGACAGCGAAGCAATATGGGCTGCACTGTCTAAATCTCGGTCTTTCCGTCGTCGGCCGAAGACTGCGTGTCCACTTTCCCTTGCAGCCACGACGACACAGGTATCGAAGGCCTTGACCCCTCGGTCTTTCACCTATGACATGTTCGGGTCGTCCAGTTTCGAGACCAAGCCGCCACCTTAGAATAAAAGTGACTACCCAGCAACTCGCAGTTCTTTTACGTCGGACGAGGATAACTCGATTCCGCCAGAGACCCTTATCCCAGGTTCGACATAAGCGAGGGTGTTCACCGCCAGTGGAGTGGCTCTTTGGTCGGTCCACCTGGTCAACTACCAGTCGGTCGTCACCATGACTCCTAGCGACTTGGCGGAAAATTGGAGATACACTGGAGTTGGTTCGGTCCACCAGACAAAATTTTGATCGTCAAAAGATAAAGAAATATTTGCCGGTCACCCCTCCTATGGTTAGAAGCCTGATGGATAGGAAGCCTTTATTAGCCGCAAAGGTCCTTCTTCTTGTGTCGTATAAGGTGTCCAGCTATTCGATGACCTGTCTGTTGCGTACGCGACTTTTGAGACTGAGCATAATCAGGCGCTCTGGGAAGCTACTTACTGCCTCTGGATCTCGAAGGATCAAGCCCGTACATGCTTCTTCTTAGCCCCGCACTACAACGCCCGGAAGAAGCGGCAGATTAGGTGTCTTTGGCGGGGCGTCGGATCGTCGGTCAGATCTTCGCAGAGATGGCCGTTCATAAATGTGACATTGATATCTTCTTGGAACCCTTCTTCCGGCAATTGCCTCTCCCTCGCCGCGTACTTTATTGGTATTTAAGTGTAAAAAGAGGCCGGGCCCGGTCTACCTGGTGGCCGCTACTCATCTCTCGGACTCTACGTGGCCATGGGTATCCCAGTCAAGACTCACCTCTGAGCTCCGCCTAGAATTTAATGTAGCGTGCCTTCAGAACATGTTCGTTCCTTCTTCGTAGAAGTAATCGTTTAGACACGATGCGTTCAATCTGTTTTTCATTCACATTGTCCGCTCGTTGCGCATTAGCCACTCTGCCATATCTTCTACTTTGTCAGCCAGCGTTTGTTAACCATTAAAAGGTGCGGCCGACTACAGATAAACCACGGTATACCTTAAGATACACTCAGTCACTCCGATCGGAAAATGGTCGACTTCTCTATAGCGTGGGTCGGTCTCAAAACTTTAAGTCGCTCGCGGAGATCATGAACTGTAACGGGGCTAGAACAATTGGTTTTAATTTACAACGTCTATGCTTTAGAAGCCTGGGCCCAAGTTTTAATTACATAATGGTTTTAACTCTGTTTATATTTTTGTCTTTTAAATCATACTAGTACGAATGGTTCCATTTGACTCATGGGAACCACTCAATCTGTGTGCCTATATCTTACTGGCTCATAATGGGACCAATCCCATCAAAAGCCAATATATACGACCTGGTACTTCCGCTACCTCGGAAGTAGCTCCCCTACTTAGGTAACTGATAACCTTAATCGAAACTACCTATGTAACAAGGTGGCCCATTACATCACCCCCTTCTCAAAATAGAACTCACGAACCGTGAGTGCTTAACTGCAAGACCTAAACGGTCACTCAAACCAAACGATGACCGAAGACGCGATAACCAACGACACAGCACTCCAGCGCACAATAAGCGAGAGTTCAGGAGACTGCGTTACGGACAAGCACTTCATCCCTTGGGCGCTAGCGACCTGTCCGGAGCGCAAGCTCCGGTCTCTTTCAAGGGATGCAGGATAACTTCCACTGCTTCCGCAGGTTGCGCGGGAAGTGTCTTAAAGGCATCTCGTATGACTCACTGCAGCGTTCTTGGTACGTGTTCGTCCGGCTATGGACCCGAATGCTTGAATATGGAAGGAACTTCCAACAATGGCTTGCCAATCGTTAAGACATTCATGCCGATCATTACATCATCGTGCTGCGTGAGAAGATGTGCCAGAAATCGGGGAACGTAGACCGAATCGGCTACGTCCATGTGCACGAATATTGTTACTCTTTTGACTCGATGCGTCGTCCAGCTCGCGCAGCTTAGCGACAGCACGTCAAAGAGCAACTACTCAGCGAATTTGAACTGCTCTAGATTGGAAGTTATGAAATCAGTTCGAATAAGTGGAAGACCGCAATTTTCGTGACGCGTCAATACTGCGACACAACTCTCGTCCACAAGGTCGTGATGTGGATCTATCAGGACGCTCTCCTTCTCTTGGTCGTGATGCATATCTACCACGACTATCTCGTTCTCGTGGCCGTGGTTGTACACGTTCGCCACGATGCTCTCGTTCTCATTGCCGTGGTGAAGCACATTCATCACGACGAGACTCTTGTTCTCGTGGTCGTGGTCGTGGTGATCTATCATCACGACTTCATCTTTACCCTTGGTCTTTTCGTTGTGGTGATACTTGACCGCGACGCAGTCGTCGATCATCTCTTTCTCGTTCGCCACGACTAAACATACGTTTTCGGACGCATCAAAATTAGGCGTGTCCACGGACTCATATGCCCATAGACGTCTGGAACGTCGTGTAGAAGTGACAAACGCAGTTCCCACGTATCTTGCTCAAGTACCGACCCGAGCCAGCGCACCCGATCCTTGCGCGCGGTTGGAACCGCGCACGCACGAAGTCACGACAAGGATCCTCGTGAACCAGTAAACGCTCCACAAATTAGGGCTTTTGCCCTACTGCATGCACAAGCGGCGGTGGGCCCTCGCAACGATAGCGTTGGCGTCTTGGTTGCCCAGGAAGATGTGGATGCGGCGGTGAAACAGGCTGTCAATGCCCAGCTGGAAGCTGAGGCTGCTACTAGGCGTGCTGCACGGGCTGAGAGGACTGCGAGCGAGATTCGACACTCGAACCGCAAACTCCTCCAACGGACGAGGAACCTGGAACGCTAGGCTCTTGGTTACGCGAAGACTGGAACGCAGCCGCGTCCGATGTCCTCGGCGCGTCGAGAAAGAAGGGAGGGAATCTAAACGTATAAGCCTTTGCCACCGAGGTCGGAACCAACCCATGAAGCGTAATTAGACGGTACTCCTTCAGTCGCCCGACGTAGAACGTCGGGTGTAGGCGCAACGACGAAGTAATGTTCAGCGTGCAGGCGTCGCCAATCGCCTTGAGCACCGTGAATAGACCGATAAACGTGGCACAAGCTTGCTCTCGCCTAAATTGGTAGCTGCCGAATTGTCTAGGCCTTCAGTAGATAGCATCACACGGTCACCTTTCTTGAATGTACTCATGTTCTTTCTCGTGTTCTTTCTTCCAAGTTTTTTGCATTATATCTATGCTTATCTACTGCAGAGCGAAGGGTACCTCGTACAAACCTCGTTATTGCATGACGTTAAAGTATCAACTCCGACTCAGCCATGTCATCAATTGGTCTTGTCAACTGAATTGGCGCGTTATTGGTTTAAGGTGAGCGCACACCCGAAGAAGGTTCAATCAGTGCTAACGTAGTCCATCGAGCTAGCATGGACGTCACGTCACGTGGCATCATAAGAGTGGACTTCGGCTTAAAATCCTTGACTACATTTGCGCTCAGAATACCGTGCGCTGCACTCGATCGTTGATTGTAACTGTCATCCACCTCCATAGTCGAGCCACAAAGAGCCGTGTAATGACCCACGGCAAAAAAAACAGGGATTCGAGGGTGACGAGCTAAATTCGCAAAGAATGGAGTCAGCCCAATGACGCGTGAACAGCGTTGCAGAGTAAAAACTCAGCGAGTGGCAAAAATGCACTTTAACATGTGAAAAAAGTAGTATAACTTTGAAGAACATTTACGAGGACTTGGATACTTCGCTCTGTTTGCCCATCCGTTTCCGGATGGGCTGCCGTCGACATCTGCAACTTCGAGCCAAGGATCTCAAACAATGAGGTCCAGAACGCAGATGTGATATGTGGATCACGGTCCGAGAGACAATTTCGTCTGATAAATCGTGATGGTGAAACACTGTGTCAATGAAATTAACCGCGGTGATTGTTGCATTGACAGGCACCAAGTGTTTCATCCTGCTGAATACTTCCAGAAAGACCAGGATATCGGTTCGATTCCGACTGTCGGGCGCTAACCCGAAGATAAAGTCCATCGACACTGAGAGCCAAGCCTCAGTTGCAATCGGCAAGAGACTCAGGGGGCCTGCGACGATGGAGATGGCTTCGCTCTTTGTCAGATTTCGCATGCGCGAATCCAGTTTTGAACCCAATTGTACATGTGGGGTTGAAAAATGTCATGCGACACAGCCGCGGAAGTCTTTTCGCGGCCCAAATGACCGCCAGCTTAGGAATCATGGTATTCGTGGATGACGCGAGCACGCAGATTCAAGTCGTTTGAGATTACCGTTTGAGGAGCATCGAATAGATCGATGCTGTATAACAGCAAATTATCATCCATACTGTATGCTGGGTGTGATCACGCTCGGTTAGCGAAAGAGCTCCCATTGCATCATCACCGGGAGCGCGCAGATATGCAATATTTTCCGCGTGATCTGGATAGTTCGCATAAGCCGCAACTAATTCATCGAAAAGGCATTAGTTGGCTGTGACCCGAGTTTAGTTTAATGACACACACGTGTCAATCGATCGTCCTCATCGTCGTTGTCAGTATCCTGACAACTCAGTGCCATCCGAGGGTTGTTATAGCGCATCGGGATAGCGCGTCAGCAAGAATGTTAGTCTTCCCTGGCTTGTATTGCACGACGAAGTTGTACTCGGAGAAAAAAGAGAGCCGTCTTTCCATTTGATGAGACAGATGTAGGCTCTTCAACGCTGTGCGCAGCGATGCATGATCAGTATACTGGGCGAAAGTGCATTTGCCCAGTAGGTGAAATCAAAACTTGATTAGTGCATAGCGCATCGCTAGCAATTCCTTGTTGTGGACCGGATAGTTCTTCCCCACCGGCTTCATCTGCCGCTACTGGCAGTTCACGACTCTTTCACGGCCCTCACGATCACACTGCATAAGGGCGCAATAAATGGCAAAAAAACTTGCATTACGCACCTCGTGAAACTGCTTGGTGTGGTCCGGGAGAACCAGTACTAGCGCGGACGCCAGACTCTTTTTCACTGCGTCGAATGCCGCCTGGTGCTCGGGACGCCACGACCACGTGGCGTTTTTATTTAACAGTGACGACGGAGGTTGAACAGAACCGGCTTACTCCTTGGTATACTAATTCGAGTAGTTGTTTAGACCGATCTATCGACGCAGCTCCGTAGGGTTCTCGAATTTGGCCAATCAGATAGACGACGCCATCTTAGGATCAGCTGTAACCCCCGATTTGCTCACATAGCAGCCCAGAACCCCTTTATAGGATTTATATAAATTGAATTATTCCAAAAATTAGAGGAATCTCCGGTGCACAGAATACACACTTCTTTAAGTCTGAATATAACTTGTTATCCCGCAAGACTTGAAACACCTGCTTCAGGTGTTAAAGGTGTACTTGGACAGCTCTGAGGTTGCTCTCAGCGCGACTGTGGACAAAAATTTCATCGAAGTTATTTGAAGCAAAGTCTCGAAGCGGTCTCAACAGTTGAGATACCATGCGATTAAAAGAGGCTGGTGCATTCTTAAATCCTTGTGGCATTATCAGCCACTTCTATGATATACCACTTGGCGTGCTCACCGCTGCGAGTGGTATGTTTCTTTGTGGTATTAGAATTTGGTAGAAGCCATCGGTCAGGTTGATGGCGCTGAAGATGACGGTTCCCGACATGGAATTTAAAAATAAGCCTTTCCTGGAGATGAGCATTTGCGCGGGGATCGTGGCATCGTTTAGCCTATTATAGGCATGCACTATCCGCCATCCTCCCGTAGCCTTCTTCACATAGAAGGTCGGGCTTGAGTGCAGTGAGGTTCTCTCACGCGCATTTACCGCCTTAGAAACTTTCATTAAAAAAATGCATTGATGGCCTCGACCTGGTCTCGAAGCAACGGCTACTGCCGGGTCACACAGTACTTTGCACCTGGCACGAGATTAATCTCGTACAGCACGCCAAGATCGGCAGGAAGTTTAGCCGGAATCATGTCCGGGAAGACGTCTACTTACTCTCGAGCAATCTCGTAGACAGGGTTACCGGGCTCACTCAGAGCCTCCCATGACTACGATACAAATCTTAATTCGCGCGCTGAATTTGGTTTAGCGCTTCGAGGGTGTGTCATGTTCGCTTCCTTTCGTTCAGGAGTTACCTAGTTGGTGACCAGGCAAACCTGTTCCACCGTGCCCCCCTTTAGGTCTCGGAGAAAATGCTTTCAGGAGAGCCCTGGAAGCCTCGTAATCGAAGGCGCGCCACGGGGTGGACTTGCGACTTCAATGTAATGGCGCCTTTGCTGAATTTCGTCCACGTACACGACAGCGTGGACGCATTCCAACGCTGTAATCTCGATGCTTGCGTCCTTATCGTGCCTTGAGTTCATGCTCGAAGCTGGCGATCCGCAGCTAGGTAAAAAACCATCACCTCTTTGACACTGGATGTCCTCATCCAGGATGTCGAAATTGCGTGATGGGAGTAACTTATACTTTTCCGTCTGGATGTCTTCATCCAGGATGTCGAAATTGCGTGACGGGAGTAACTTATACTCCTCCGCCGACGCTTAAAGCAGGAGCCCGTGCTCGACCGCTGTGACCCCGTGTGAGAGCCCCTGCTCTACCACAAATTGCCGATGTGGGAACCCCGGACCACACAGTGGGTGATGATAGGAACCCCTGTTCGAACATCATGTTCTGACGTGGGAACTCCTGTCCGTTACCGCAATCGGGAAAAGCTCTTGCTCTTCCTTATCTTGGTTGTGTGGGATCCTCTGCTTAACTACAATAGGTGCAGTAAGGATCTTCGGTTCTATCACTGCTCTCGTACGGGAACTCCTTTTCTAATGCGTCTTCCTTGTGCGAAAGCAACTGCTTTTCGCGTTAGTATCCTTGTTGCGAGAAGACATCGTCGTTTGCGTTCATGAGAACAGCACAAGTGGTGCATAGAGGGTCATCGCTCGCTCTGTGCACCGCCGCCGTCGTAGAATCACTATTTACGACTACGTTGTTAACCAAATTACTTATAAAAACCAAGACATAAGTAAAAACATCGCTGACGTCGCACTTGCAACAACGTCTCACAAATGTTGCTAACCAGTCAATCTGGGGCTTGTAACGTGCCAACCATGGCATGCCCATGTCGCAATCGAATCCGTAATTCATCTCAATCAACAAGAAAGTGTCGTTGCTGCGAAAGCCGTCGAACGTGTACGAAGGCGACCAATCGCGCCGCGATACGCGGCGTAATTTTTCGTCCGCAAGCTTGACGACAACTTGGCCAGCCCTCTCGAGGACCTGGATGCAAGATGGTATCAACGACACAAAGGGTTCACGGAAGTAATTGTTTGTCGCTCCAGAATTCAGGAGCGCTCGAAAAGGTCCCTAAACACCGTCGACGTGCGACTGAAAATGATCAGGCGTGAATCTTCATTCGTAGTGGTTGCAGGTAACCGTGTTCGCAGCAAAGATAAGCTGGGAGCTCGGCTGTCACCGGTCGACCCGGACCTCCCTCCGAACCAAAAGGACACCCTGCACCTACTGGTCTCGTCCGTTTCTTGGACGAGTGGGCGGAGCACCTCCCTTACGATGGGTATTAATAGCATGCACCTACATTGGTGCTGGCGCGTGGCATTCAGCCGCGCGATGTCCAGGCTTTCGACATTAGAAGCAGATCATATGACGTCCGCTACGAACGTCGCCCTTGTAGGACGTAAAACGTCGTCGGTCACCCGACGACTCAATAACATAATTGTCATGGGTTCCGGTCCCGCTGATCTGACAGCGGTAACAACTGAAGGCTCGGTGTAGGCCTTTTTGACTCTCTAGTCCTCACGGGGGGCGATGGCGAAAAAAGGCCCCTTAACGTGGCAGGCTCTGGCGTTCCAGCGATAGGCGAGTCTGCCTTTCACGCATTTCATCGACAAAGATGCTCTCTTGTGTGTACATGTCGATGGGGTGCGTGAAAATGCACGACGCCAGATGTCGGG